AATGCATCTTCAAAATTAAATTAAACATCATTAAAAATCATAAATGAATACGTCTTTACATTGTACAACAAAAAAAACCACCTTTTTAGAGGCAGTATGAATATTTCTTCGAGCAGAAGATTATTTCCTCCTGTTATAAGGAAATTGGACTTCCAAGCCAGACAAAACTACTTAACAAAAACTATTTTCACTGTGCTGAATATGAATTTTAAAATGCCAGAATTAATGCAAAGCCTCTCTCTCAGCAGGCTTGATGGGTTAATTTGATGGCAGATAAATAAATAAATAAATGAAAGCCTGCCTCAGAGAACTCTCCATCCATGAATGTGGATCTTAGTCTCTTATTGTAAAGCTGTTGGTGTTTTTCCTTTGATCATTTCGAGCATTTAACCAATGTCACAAGGGAAAGAAAAAGTGCTCTCCATCCTGCCAACATGACGTATTGCAACATGGTCATAATCACTCGAGCTGCACTAATGCCTTCTTGCAGATTATAATATGAATCATTAAAGAGTAGGCTGATGGTGGCTATGGGGAAATTAAGGGAAGATAATTTTAGTTTCTATACCGGTAAATGAAAGCAGGCCAGCTATGGTCTCTCACTGTGAATCATAGCTGCTTGTCTATTGCCCTGTCATTTGTATATCATTAATAACACCTTCAACAAATCTTCTCTCTTAGTGTGGCAACAGATTTACAGCTCAGATTTATCAGCAGCAATCCAGCTGAATCCATTCATTTCTTCCTTTCTTCGCTCGAGAATAGTTGCTGGTTTGAAAATTCCCTTAAACAATTAGTCCTGCAGCCCCGGCTCATGCATCAGAGGAACAAAGACCAAATGCACCATGGGTATAATTCTGTCAGGTTTGTCCTGGTGGAGGACTGCCAATTACAGTAAACACCAACAACAGCTCTCTGTTGTGTCACAACAACAGATACACACAGAAACATGCACACATGCATATCAAGGTTCCAGTCCACTGAGTTGTACAGCCATAGAACCATATAAACTACCGCTATGCCTTCATGCTATAAACAAAAGAAGAGGGGAAATGCTCATTTGTGACATCCAAGGACAGAAGAGGCAGCACATAAAATCCAAGACTTTTCGACTTCTTAGTTTTTTTGCATTTTTTTCCACACTTAATTATTTCAGATCATCAAATACATTTTAATGTTATCCAAAGATAACTTGAGTAAATACAAAATGCATTTTTTAAAATCAGAAATTCATTTATTAATGGAAAAAAGCTACCCCCACCTCCACTGTTAAATGTACTAGCCACACCCAGGCCTGATAGCTGCCAGATCACTTAAATAGGCCCAGAAGGACGGCCTTGCCTGCCTTGCCTCAGTTAAGGTCAGAGTTCATGATTCAATATATAAGAAAAAGGCTGAACAAAAATGGCATCCATAGACAGAGGTGGGAAGTAACAAAGTGCAAATACTTCCTTACCGTACTTAAGCACAATTTCCAGGTATCTGTACTCTACTTGAGTACTTTTTTACTTTTACTTCCTACATTTTTAAACAAATATCTGTATTTTCTACTCCTTACATTTTTAAAACAGGCTTGTTTCTTTTGCTTTAACGCTTTTGGGTTGAGTTATTATTCCGTCACTGTGAGCCTCCAAACATCAAACCAAGCCTAAACAGAAACACATGAAAGCCAATCCTGTTCATTTCTTTATCACCAGAGGATTGTGCATAGTCGGAGGCTAAAAGAGGAATGGGGGGGTGGGGTGTTGTTTTTGCCACAACACCAGAATTATTGCAGGTGTCTGTACGCTGTGGTAATTCAGCATCTAGCTAGTCCTGACTTTTTTAAAGGGAGTGACTTTTTTAAGTGGCAGGTAATTTCAAATGTAACGTTTCTATCAGCTCAACAACCATCAGCAAACACACAAACTGTTTGTGTGCAGCTTGTTACACAGTGTGTCGCTAGCTAAGGGTCCAGCTGCTGTATTTCACAGGGAGAGAAAAGAAAGAGCTTCACTCAGAGATGGAGAAAGATAAGAAAGAGGACAGAAGAGGAAGAAGAAAGGTTAGATTTAAAGGTAAGGATGCTCAGTGAGATTTGATAAACTTGGAAATTTAAAGCTTACGTGTAAGCCCTCGTGCTTTTAAATGTTTAAATGTTTTATTTTTCATATTGTGAAACATGCTGCAAATCAAACTGAAGCAGACTAACTGCTACTGTAGCAGAGATTCATTTGAATTTTAGCCCATGATGCTAAGATCCACTCCAATATAATTAGTATGGATGCTGATTAAACATCCACAGTATTGTTCTTCTACTTTTCATCTTCAGTACGTTTTTTTGTACGCTATCTCCTTTAACACTGTTCAACTTAGAAAAACCATTCAACCACCATTAGATTCCTCTTCTTTTAGACATGTGTGCTTGTATTTTTCTCATTCTTAACTTATATATTTTTTTTAATTATTCAACTTTATTCAACAAAAATTTACAGTGTATTTCAATGGGAGAATCTTCAAATTCTCATTCAACTTACGCCTCTTTCCAATCTAACTACTTCCACATACATTGACCGACAGACACCATTCAAACTGTAAAATGAAGCCACAACATTGAACTATTCAGGTTGTATTTATCTTTTTAATATCTTTTATACTTTTTCTTCAGTTCCAGTCACCATTTCTGAGTTTATAATGGGTGTGTATGGGATGAAATGTTGGAGGTTAGCGTGATACAGCTCAACTGCTTGAGTGGGAGCAGGGAAAAAAATTGATCTTAAAAGTTTCTATTTAAACTGCTGCTGTGTCCACAGTGTTTGGTGTGCAGCCATCATTTTACTCTCAAAACGTAGCCATCGTTGTTCCCTTTCATCCAATGTTATTTTTATCGTAATGGATGTTATGGTTCTTTCATAAATGCCACCAATGCACAGCCTCCTCCATGGAACTCTTCAGAGTCCAGTGATATTATTTTCTCATTATGCTAATATAGCAACTAGGTTCAGTTAGCTTTGCACAAAAATAGAAACATCCTCGAAAGAGCTCATTTTTACTTTCTTACTCTGAGTACATTTTAGAGCTGGTACTTTTTCACTTGAGTAAATAAGTTGAATCAGTACTTTAACTTTTACTGGAGTGTTTTTTTAACAGCAGTATTTATACTTCTATTTAAGTACTTTGCCAGCTCTGTGCATAGGAGAGTTCCAAGGAGAAAACTGTTGCTGACTAAAAAGAACACAAAGGCTTGTGTAACATTTGCCAAGAACCATATTGATGATTCCCAAAACGTATGGTAAAATATTCTTTGGCCCTTTTTGAATTCAAAGCTGTTTTAGATAACGCTTCAAATAAGTGTGCAAATAATTACCCACAGGCATATTGAAATGGCTGCCAAGTGGCAAGACGTTCTTCAGGAGGAAGTTAATCTGTGTGGTCTGTGTGGATATTTCTGCCAGATGAGGATAATAGCTGTAGCCTAGAAGGACTCATCAAAGATTGTGTGGACCATGAAAATGATTATCACATGTTGTGATATTAAATCCCAACCCAATCAAACGCTCAAACAATGTTTAGAAGCACAGCATATCTTTTGGAAGAATGGTGTTTATCTTTTTGGAAGCTTGTGATAGCCCAGATACTTGTTAAGATGTTTTACCTTTTGCCTTTAACAAACTAACCATCTGTTTATGGGATTCTTGATTGGCTGCCCTGTGGCACTAAATTGTGTGGCAGTAATGGTCATATAACCATTACTGCCACACAATTTCTTGAGACAAATTCCCAAAGATTGAGCAGTAAGCCACTCCATCTGAACAAACAAGATCTTTTATAAAGGATGTCCAGGTGAGTATGCTGTATAATAAAACTGTACTTATCGAGCAAAGACAAAGCATCGGCTCTTAAATCACAAGTTTAATTACCTTGTCTGAAATCATCATGCTTATCACCTACTTGACACACCCAGAAAGTTTACCGAACAGTTATTTATTTCTAAGTTAACTTACCTTCATTTGTTTGTTTGTTGCATTTTTGAGTGGGTTGTCCATCCATGTTCTTGCGCTAATCTAATTCTGGGTTGTGAGGGAAGCTGCAGAATATCTCAGTTGTAGCAAGGCCAAATACACCTGGACAAGTCACCAATCTGTTGCGGGGCTAATACCATACAGACAGTCAGTCATGCCCATGTTCACATCAGTAGTCACTTTAGGATCACCAATTAACCAGCTATAAAACCAGCTCCTAGTTTAAATTTGGGAGATAAACACTCTCTTAAGCTTATTCTTAAAAATGTCATTATAGTTAGAGCTGGACTGAACCAATAGGCTTGGGCAGCTTGGGGGCTTCCCATGATGAACTTCTTTACTTGTCTATTTTAACTCTATTTTCACTTTTATACACCACTACTGTATTTAATGATTAGCAGTTATTAAACTCTGGTGCTCTCTCCGTAGTTTGTTTTTTGTCCTGTTTCACTTTGTTCTCTTCTCGTTCTCCTCACCTCCAACCAGGCAGATGGCCGCCCCACCCTGAGCCTGGTTCTGCTGGAGGTTTCTTCCTGTTAAAAGGGAGTTTTATCTTCCCACTGTCGCCAAGTCCTTGTTCATAAGGAGTCATATATTTGTTGGGGTTTTTTCTATAATATTGGTCTTTACTTTACAATATAAAGTACCTTGGGTTGACTGTTTTGGGAATTGGGACTATATAAGTAAAATTTAATTAAATCTCTTTGGGCCTCACAATGAAAATTACACTTTGAATTCACTTCAGAATCATGTGTACTTCATCTGATATAGCGCATCAAACCATTGTCAATCCACCTAACTTTGTCTCCTTTAACAAATAAATAAAATCAGATTAGCTTTGAAGTATTTACAGAGTATACACCAGTGTCAACATAAGGGATTCTTTTTCAAGGTTTTATTCAAAAGAAATGTAAACAAATTTAAAGTTAAAATACAAAACTAAGCAGATAAACATTTGCACCAATAAATATATTTTAATCAAGATGAGAGTTGGCTTATTTTATACTTCCATCTGTACACCTGTTTTTTAAACAAAATTCGGAATGATTTTTGCACTTTGGTTTGAATGTCCTTTTAATGCATTAGAAGCCAGAAAAATTCAAACATGCTGCTCGCCATCATCAGCACCAGCATCTTGTTGATTTGGTGCTGCTCTCCACACATGAAGACCAACTGTCAAAATACTCACAGTCCAAGTGGCTTTTTCATCAACAACAGAATGTGCCACTCCTCCTCAAAACAGGCTGTGATGTCTAAAAATTTTCAGCCTGGTCAGAAATGTGAAATAGATAAAAGCTAGGCTTACCAGGACATTTTTCAATGGGTATAAGAGGGGTGTTACAAAGCCAAACACAGCAATCAGAGCAACCCGGAAAACAAAGAAAGGGAAGTCCTGAAGAGCAAATCCAGCAGAAGACAGCAAGGGGTTGTGAGGCGTGATAATCATACGAAGAGTAGACAGGAAGGTGAGGATGTAGACTGGGAACACCCAGCCTGAGTAGAACACTGGGGGCAGTCCTGCCACTCTCACCATCTCCACAGTGTCAAACCAGAAAAGGAAACTATCCACAAATATTTCTGACCTTCCGTCCCTTTTCCACAGGATGCTTGGGCGACCCGAATACGACAGAGGGCGTGAGGTTGAGGAGTACAAGTAGGCTGTTCTGGTGATTCGTGTTCTTGGTGGTGAGTTGGCAACATCGTGGAATCTGTTAGAGGGACTGCCATTTTTGGCCTCTGGTTGGCCTTGGGTCACACCGTTCTGGCCTTCTTCAGGATTCATCTGGCTTGATACGGTGGTCACTGGTTCCATGTGGGTGAGGACAGGGCCTGATATGTCAAAGTCTGAATCTAAGCTGTCTGCTATAAATGACAAAACCAAATTTTTCTGTATAAGTTAGATTATCCGAAAGACTAGCTAATAAACAAGAGAACTGGTCTTTTTTTAAATCATTTTTTAAAAATAAGAGAAGAAAAATCATCTTTAGCATAGGTAACGACAATCATGTGACAGGGTAAGGTGGTTAGTGTTAGGGTTTACTGTAGACTGTAAGGTCCAGCTTCCATGAATCAGGCTTCTTACTGTACATTTAGCAGATACATGATTTGAATTTGGAGAATTTGTCATCTTGGTCATGTTTTGTGCTCTTGTGTTCTCCAGCTGTTTAGGTGGGTTGTATTCAACTGGTTAGAAAATGCACCGGAAGTCTATGACCAAAGTCTCAATAACTTGACTCTGTTCATCTGGATGTAGAGTTTTCAGTGGTAGAAACATTTTCAAGTATCACTCATTCAAGTGTTTCTTCTGTCTCAGCTGACTGCAGGTTTCCCCAACCTTATAAATCGTCACTTGGTGATGAAAACATTTCTCCCACTGAAAATGCTATGTCTAGATAAACAGAATCAGGCACTGACGCAATATAGCAGTGGTACAGGGATGTATTAGGGAAAGCTGGAAAATTTTGCAGCTTACTAAACAGCTAAATTAGGAAGGGTGTGTTTATTATCATCCTCTTTGGCTCTTGGCGAAGGCGGTCGGACTTTTTCTCCTCTCCTCTCCCCCTTATCTTCCCTGCTTAGCCTCTTGTATCCTTGTCTAGTCTCGTGTATTTTTGTATTACTTTTCCCTGGAACACTCTCTCACAGTCTGTTCTCTAAAA